AGTGCTCTGTGAAATAAAGCCATTTGATTACTTTGCATCGTTTCCAGAAACACGTTTCCAGACTTATTTTCAATGTGTGAATGAAAAAACTACATCTTTCTTTCTGAGTGCATTCAACTTAGCATTCCAAAGATGGGTTCACGACTCCTTTGAACTCATAGCATGTTCTGCCATACATTTGTCTATGTAAATCCTGGATTAAAGAGAAGAAATGAAGATAGTAGCTTCAGAGGAGCAAATTTTGTTAGGATAGATGAGAGGAAAATTACTTAGCATTAATTTCTTTTCCTTACCCCAATTATTCCCAGGTAATTTAGGACTGTCCATGTCTGCTATTTACCTAAGAGAATTTGCACATGTTAAGTGCATTGGCATGATTAATGCAATGTCTGTTTTCGTTTTAATTCATCATTCAAAATGCTTCTCATTTGTATTCTCAACTTAGCATCACACGGTGCATGACCAATAGTTGACCATATTCCAAGGGATAAAATATGATTTCAAAAGTTTAAACACTTCTCTGAAAAGGTTTAGCCCATATTTTATTTTACAAAATAAAGTTCCTTCCAATTTTAAGTCTTATGTTTTCACAAATCAATAATACCGTGCAGATGATAACTTTACAAAAATATATCTAAATTGATCTGCCAGGCAGTAATTGATCATCATTGTGCCAAAATATACAAAGTGTGAATTTGAAACCAATGCTGATGGTGTGCTGGGTAAATAACACGACACAATTTGGTTGCATGAAAGTACCTTTTATGTGCTAACATCAATAGAAATTACCCAGTTTCAAGCAGACTGAGGGTGCCTCATTCATAACTCATTTCACCCCAAAAAATCCCTCTGGAATAATCCATTAGCCAACTTTTACTTCATACCTTTTAATTCATAAGGACCCAACTGTTTCCCAAGTTTCATATAGAAAGGCATCTCTTGTTTTAGGGGTGAACATCTGCTTACATGCTGTAGAAATAGTAAGATTGGATATCCCAGATTTTGTTTTGCTTTTTCTATTAGAAGTAGAAATGAAAAGCATTAGAAGTAGAAATGAAAAGCATCATTAATTTAAAAGCAATCTGGTAACATGGCTGAATAATGCTAATGTCAAAGCTTAATCTCTGGTGTGTTCCTTTCTAGTCTGACTTAAAGATACCTTATCTGGAGATTTAAAGCAGGAATGTATCTATTAGCGGCCTGGCAGCTAAATTCTTCTATTCAGAGCTTAACTATACAGACGTGTTTAGTTTTGCCATTTGTCTGGAAGCTTCTTCTTAACTTCATTATAAGAATCCTGTATCTGGCCTAGGTCAGTGCAGATGACTTGTTCTGATGCAGAAAATACTTGATTAGGCATATGAGGCAATCCAGCCTTGTCTTCTGCTGACTCAGACATACTTAGACTAAATACTTTGATGATATCATCCCAGGCCATTGCAAAGAAGCATGTGGAAGAAAAGGATGTGGGTTTAGAATGTATATTTTTATAGAATTGTTTAAAGAAAATTGTTTTAGTTTGTGTGGCTTAATGCTTGGATTTGATTTTACTTTTGCTATTTCTGGCTTTTATTAGTTACTGTTCATCACACTGAATATTATTATCGTTATTGTTATTGTTATCTTATATATAGCCTTGAGAGGGCTCTTTTGCATCAGAAAGCCATCTGAAGCATCTACAAATAAATATGTAAATATTTTTAAATGATGCAAAACAGGAAAATATTATCCTTAACGCCAGAGTGTGTTAAAACAATGGCAATATAATATATGTTACAGGCATCTCATTCCGAATAATAAGGAATGATAATCATAAAGGAAAGCCTGCTGAATTAGACCAAAGATTCATTTAGTCCAACATCTGTTTTCCACCGGGGTCTGTCCCTATGTTTCCAAGAAAATCATGAAGAGGCCATGAGAACAATGCCCTTATCCATTATTCATTCTACAACTTTGCCAGCAATCAGTATTCAAAGACATATTAATTCTTGTATATGTACATATCATTCTACTGCCCTCCAGTTATGTCATATTTAACTGACATAGTTTGATGAATGTGCACTGTCAGTATTTTGTGAACCAACATAAACTTAAAAAGAAACATTACTGACTGATGTATCCTCATGGAAGAGCACAGAATCCATACTCCTTTTCCTGTAGGACTCTTTTCATACCAGAAAAAGGAAAGATTATGTTTCTGAATGTTGGTCACCTCCTTCAAACTTATTCTACAGCTTACAAAAGCAGCTTAAGATAAAGATAAGACAGTGAGGAACAAATCCCTCACCTGAAATGGATGTTGGGATCCCACTAGTAAATAAACTGAAAAATTGTGAGTAAATCTACTGACAGATATGAATTCCACTTGGTCATTTTTAAGACCAAGATTAAAGTAGGCTGTATTTTATGTGAAAGACATGGTGAATAAGTATTGTTAGTTCATATCTGTTTGTTGAGAAACGGCTGTATCTGCATGATTCTCAGACAGGAGTGCTAATAAAAAGCTATGTCATCTAGAGTTAACGATTTTAAATTCATTACAAGATGCTGATGTAGTATGTGTGTGTAAATATATATGTGTGTAAATTGTGTGTGTGTGTGTGTGTGTGAAGGGGGAGGGAGGGGAGGGGGAATTTAGGAGGGAAAGTGCAATAAACTGATGTTTCTATTAAAAAGACTGAAATTTTGCTATCCTATAGTCGATGAGTGACCTTGTTTTTAAATAATAAAAGTACAGAAGTCCAACATGTTTTTGTTTTTTTGCTAGAAAGTCAGTCCATAGAGAAATTCAGTATGTTTTGAAGATTTAGAGAATGAAACCATGTAATATCATGATAGGCAGATGTTTTCCATATGTTATCAGCATGGAACTTCAGTCATTCCAGCGCTGTCTTGTATGATGTTTCATGTTACAGATTTCTCTGCGAATTTGGCTTCAATTCAGCTTGTGCATATACTTCTTCAAACATTCTTCCAAAATTGTAAAACTATTTTGTCTTGGTTATTCTCTCCACCTCCCCTCCATACTTTATCAGCATCTGAGCAATTGTATCCTATGTTGTATTATCAGTGTATCTTTGTATTAAATGCATAGTTATAAAATATTGCTTCCAGATTTCTCTTTAGCATAGCTTGCTTAAGTGTAACATAGGATACTTAAATTCAAGTGGGATATAGAGAATAGGTAAGTTAGAATGGTTTTTTTAACAGTTAGTATAATCATAGTGTTTAATACTCAATTTAAATAACATTTAAAAAAATAGTTCGGGTTAAATACAAAGCCATATTGCCTTACTTAGTCACATTCCATATTAAATAATATTTTGATTTCTGTTTTTCTCTTGTTCTGCCATATGTTTTGGTGCAAGCATTCAGTTCCCACAGACATCGTTCCCAGAAACCATGGATAATAAAATCCTGATTCTGTTTTGCTTTATCTCTTCAGCTTGAGATCATTCAGACTTAAAGCCCTGTTGACAGAGAAAAATAGAATAGAGGCTCTTTGTTACGATTCTGTTCCCATATTCTTCACAGGGAATTCCACGTTGCTCCGTGTATTGCCTTCTTTGTATGAAAAGCAACAAGAACCTTTAAGCAACCACCTGAGAGAATTGGTAGGACTGATGCCTCATCTGGAACCATCTGAACAGCAACATCTTCTACAGCTTTTGCTAACTGTTGCAAAGAAAAAACAGCCTAAGGTAATTTTTCTTCATTTCATATTTAGTCAACTCAAAACATGTGGTTCTTGAGGCAAAGGACCCTGTAATTGTGATACATCCCAGTACAATTAAACTTCTCACTAGGCCAGGATCCAAAATTCCTACCTATAACTTTTCAAGAATTGCCTCTCCAATCATGAACCTTGCATTAAGATTTGCTGAGTTCGAAAACCAGTTACACATCCGCTCCCCAAAGAGGAAAGTTCACCATAGGCTAAATCAGTTGGCTTAATCTGTCTTGTGTAGAGCGGAGGTGGGGAACTATGGCCCCTTTATGACCTGTGGACTTCAACTCCCAGAATTCCTGAGCCAGCTGGTCATAAAGGGGCCATAGTTTCCCATCCCTGATGTAGGGTGTCCTCTCTTTGGGCTTCACTATAATTTATTCACTATGCATTTATTATTTAGTGAATGTATTCACTGATGCATTTATTAATCTCTAATCAAGTATCTTAATTTAACACTGGTACTTTGGTACCCTGTCCTCAAGTTATATTCACTGCTCAAAGATAAGAGGTTTCCCAATGCATTTGGCTTAATAAACCTATTATAACTCTTGCATAAATAAGTACAATATGTGCAAATTGTTGTGATGATAATTGACACTTTGCCACTGAATTTCCAAGGCCTGTAAGCAGGGAAGTGATCCAAAGCTTGCAAAATGAGGCTAAGAGTTGTTCTAACCTCTGAATTTCCAAGTCTAGTAATGCAAGTAATCTCACAAGCATCACTAGAGTACATTGTTCTTCCAATGTTAGCACATATCCCTTATGTTGAAACATGTCCTGTAAAGGGATATTCCCTTGGATCCCAAAGTTAGACTGGTGCAAATAAGTCTTGTGGTAATGAAATTACATCATTGTCTACAACCCCCAATATGTATCTCTACAAAGATAAAGATATTTTCATGATTAAAGAAGAGCAAGTAATTTTATAAGAAAACAGAAAAAAGTAACATGGTACAAACATTTCATGTTTCATGTATAGCCAGTTCTGTTGCCTAGGCTATTTGTGCTATTTCACATTGGAACAGTGGTGAGATTCAGCCAGTTCGCACCACTTTGGCAGAACCGGTAGCTAATTTTTTGTTGCCCAAGCCCAGAATGGACTTCCAGAAGCGGCATCCACACAGAGAACTGGTTGTTCACATATTTGAATCCCACCAGCGCATTGGACCTTATAAAATACAACAGTACCAGATTATAGGATATATATACATTTCAGTAGTCTTTGGAAAAATTAAAAAAAAGCTCCAGAAATTTATAAGTTATAGCTGAAGGAACTTTTACAAAATATATAGCAATGGAGGGACTATAATTTTTTCCATAATTCCACTCTGACAGGACCCATTTCAGCCTTTGTTTAGAGCAGGTGTGTCAAACTGCCGGCCCGCAGGCCAGATGCATCATGGCAAAACCGCACCCACCCCATTGCCGGCAATGGAAAACAAGTCGCAATACCCCCCAACACGTCACATGATGTTGCAAGTTTGACATCCCTGGTTTAGAGTATAGGCCAGGGGTAGGCAACCTCGGCTTTTTTATGACTCATGGACTTCAACTCCCAGAATTCCTGAGTCAGCTATGCTGACTCAGGAATTCTGGGAGTTGAAGTCCATGAGTCATAAAAGAGCCGAGGTTGCCTACCCCTGGTATAGGCCATCTAGTCTACACTTTCAGCATGACTCCCATTCTTCTGTTAAAGATACTGTGTGTGTGTATGTGTGTGTGTTTGTGTGTCTTTGAGACTTACTTTGTGTCTTTGAGACTTACTTTGTAAATTGAAATCTGGCATTTCAAGAAAGAGAGTCACATCTGGTCATCCATAAACCTAATTGTGAAGACTTAATATAACACATTGTCTTTCAGCATAGCTTATATCACAGAGCAACTACCAGGATGAAATCAAATAATATAATCTGTAAATTGCCCAGAGTCGCCTTGTTGGGAAGTGGATGGCATAAAAAATTAATAAATAAATAAAAATAAATAATATTAATATATACTGCTTTCAGTGACTTAGGGAAAAACATCTGGATTCAAAGTGTGATATATAGATTTAGTCTAGCCAAAATATTATTTGGTTATTGATGAAGTTATCACATTATGAACAGAGGTAGTTTCTTCCAAATACCATTTTGATCTAGGAAACCCATTTGATTTCTAGTTAATGCTAGGAATGCCATTAAAAAAACTAAGCCCAACAGTCCTTTCTTTAACTAGTGAGAACATAGAAATTATGCAGGCCAAGCTAGAAGCCTATTGAATATGATGTTCAAAATGCTCCTTGCTCACAAGACAAAATTCAACCTATTTCTAAAGAAAATAATTTTCAACTTATCTGGCCAGCCACCATAAGTACGTAAACAAGTTTGGAATTGGCTACTTTTTGAATAGAAAACTACCAGGGCAGATTGGGAAGTTGAAAAAATCCCTCAAAAGAATTCACGAGCAAAAAAGTTCTGAATTATAACTAAAATAACTACATGGATATGTTCATGAAGTCCCTAGGACTCAAAGCAAGATTCATTTTTTAATATTTGAGAAACTCAGCTGGAATGAATATCTTTCACACTATTGTCAAGTATCTCAAAAAGAGAGAATTTTCTTTAAATTGTCTTAGACTCTATCATAAGCACAAAACGAGAGCAGCACCTCCTAAGAGTGCATTGTTACAAATTTAGTTTATGCAGATACATTTATTTGTATTCCTTATGATCTGTAAGCCAAGTTCATAAAGGAAAAAGAGAAAGTTTAAATTTATTTGTAAGGGAATGATATAAGTTTAAATCCTCCATACTTGTTTAGGTAGAGATATACTATAAATTAAGATAAACATAAACTTCAGAGTCAGATAATGGGTTAGAGTTAAGAATGTTCAAAATTGAATGAGCTACTTCCTCAGTTTTCTACACTATATATGAACATAATTCTATCTTAAATATATTATGTTTCATTCTGGGTGGCATACATGGATTTCTTATTTTAGGCATATCACACTATACACGGACTAAATGTATGCCACTAACTAGTGATGCTTATGTAATTGCTCCTAATTACAAGCAGGTTTATTATTGTGATACTCAAGAATTTCTTTTTAAGTTATTTCTTATAGAAATTTAAGCCTGTACATTTAGATTTTTGTAAAGCATGTTTATTAATTCGGTTTCCTACATGTTCAGGGGTATTCTTTCAGACTCATGCAAATTATAATTTCAGTTTTTAATCACGATATTGCAAAACCAATACATAGGGGATTCATACAGTAGATTTCCAGTATAGTTCCATAAATCAGTCCCGTGCGTGTATGGCTACATCACCATCTTTTTCTTGTGTACTTGATTGCAACAATGCATCTAGAGTTGATTGATTTCAATTAATTTAATAGACCTAATAGTATAGGGATGTGATTATAATTTCTCAGAATGTCAGTGACCTGAATCCTACTGTAAATATGTAACTTTCCAGTGCAACATATAGAGGCTATGCTAACTAAATGCTCACTTCAATGCTAACTTAAATTATCTAAAAATCTGCATCTTAAATTCATTCTTCATTTTAGGCATCAAATGTGACATTTAAACAAATGTAGAAAGTGGGAATTTCAGTTGCCTTTCACAATATTCTATCAGAGACTTTAACTGATTTTTTTTAAAAAAAATCAATAAAACATATTAGTCTAAGGGGAAAAACCTGTAAATATTGTAGGATTTTTTTTAAGAATTTCCTTAACGAAATGCTAAATCAATGAATGTATAACTTCAAGCAGTATCCTGTGTGTATATGTTGAGAATAATTGAACTTGAATTAACTTATTTGAGAATTATAAGCAGATGGATTTTTCTTTACAAAAATCAGACTGGAATTTATGTTTCACCCTTCTTGTAGGTTCTCAAACAATGTATTTCTTCTCTAATTGATCACCTAAGAGATCCTCTTTATAATGATATCATCCTAGACATATTCATAGAAATATCAGATTATGAACCGGAATTGTTGGCCAATTTACTGCCCATACTGAAAGAAACTGGAGAGAGTTTTCCTAATTTGATAGGGCAAATGGCAAAGATTTTTGGAGCTGTTGGACAAGTTGATGAGGTATGTGCTATTTTCTATATTTAAAAAGAATTTATATTTTACTGTGTTCTTAGCCCAGAATCATGATTCATAAAAGGAGAAATATGTATGACTGCTACTGCTGTTACTATTATTGATGATAATAATAATAGCATCTACTTTGAAGAAGTCAGTAACATCCCTCAAGTGGCCAAAATTGTTCCAGTATAGTTAGGCTCTACCTGAAAGTTGTCATTAGAACAACAAGCATTGTCTACTTTCGTACTTTCTTTTTTTCACAGCTTGTGATTTTGTACAAAGTAAAATATATCTGAATGGATAGATTATTAATATGAATAAGTAGGCAGCTACTGGTTTGTCACTTCCCTCATCTCTTCCCCACCACTGAGAGGTTCCCACATCCACTTTTTAGAAGTGCCACCCAAATGCCAAAGGCAACGTTCCATTCTCTAAAAACCATTACAATGCCCATCACTCCCTCTCTTTAGGGCCGTCCTATGCCAAAACCAATTTAGTTGGTTGTTATAAACTGTAGTTTGCTTCAACCAAAACATGGTCAAATGTAGAAAAGAGAGCTTACCATTACACAATCCTCACATCAATGCTTGGCATTTGTCAAATCCAGAATTTGGTAAGTGCAGCAAGAAGAAATCATTACTTCACATAGCTTTCTTTTCTGTTGGGATGAATTAAATATAGAAAATTGTCTAAGATAAATTAAAGTAGTTGTCCACACTTTCAGGCTTTCAGACTCTTCCAGCCTTGTTATCAGTAATCCTTTAAATGGAGGTGATGGGAAAAGATTGTGGGCCTTTCCACACAGAAAGCATGTTCTTTGCTCATTCCAGAGGTGCTTTTTCAAGAGGCAACTGGACTTTATTTTAGAACTGAAGACGTTTCTTGGATGGGAAGCAAAATGTCTTCAAGGAAAAGTAAAGAAAGTCCACTTGCTTCTTGAAAAAGTACCTTTGGGACAATCATGATCTGGATGACTGAGAATCTTCATAGACATGTTCTATACTCCAAGATATGGTTGGGCCTTCTTAGCATGGACAAAATGAGTAGATTCTACAAATAAAGAAAAAAAAATAGGGAAGTCACATGGTAAGAAAAAGTAAAATAAGCATCTATGTCCATGGAAGTATGGACTTGTGCATTCCAACAGATCTTTTTTCAGGAGCAATTTGGGCAAAACCTGAATCCTGGTCTTCCTTTTTTTCCAATCTTGGATAAATTATATAATACTTAAAAGACATCTGCAATCAAAGCTAAGTCACATTAAGACCTAAAAATGCTATCAACATATTTTCCATAAAAAATGCTATGATATAATCAATAAAAATGCATCAATATGCAGAACAGAAATATTTTTGCGGTTGAAAAAATATTTCATATATTATATGTCAGATTATTTCATGTTTAAATTCTCAAGGAATTATTATCATCTCCATGTAACAAAATCATGTGTATATGCAACCTGATCACTTTCACCCAAAACAGAATGCAATCAATTCATTTCTTGAACTCTCCTTAAGAGTTTTATACGCTGTTTTATGTACAATAGCATGTCAAGCACTTTATACCAGGGCTTTTCAACCTTTTCACCCATTGTACCACTTTTAGGATATGGCAGTATCTGAGTACCACCAGTCGCCTAGCACAGGGCTTTTCAACCTTTTCACCCATTGTACCACTTTTAGGATATGGCAATATCCGAGTACCACCAGTCGCCTAGCAAGGTGTCAAAAACTTGATGACAAAAAAAAGGGAAAAAGTGATAAAGTACAGGTAGTCCTCGACTTACAACAGTTCGCTTAATGACTGTTTGAAGTTACAATGGCACTGAAAAAAGTGCCCCCCAAGCCGCAGCTGAGCAAGACACCTGCCTCCCACCTGGTGGCGCTCTTCCTCCTGTCCGAGGTTTTCATTGTTGTGAGCATTTCTGTTGGGGATTGGCCAACGGGGTGGAGTGGGGGGGTGTTTGGTTTTTATTCCCCCCGTCTGCTGGGTGGTTGCAGCAGGTTTTGGTCACTTCACATGACTCTGGGACACTGTGACCGTCATAAATATGAATCAGTTGTCAAGCATCTGAATGTAAATCACAAGACCCTGGAGATGCTGCAACATTCCAGCTGATCGGGGCTTCTTCTGGGCTCAGCAGAAGCACCAGGATCAGCGCTGAGCTCCAGCTGGAGCCTGGCACTGATCCTGGGGCTTCCGCTGAACCCTGACAGCCCTGCAGCTCCAGCCATCTCTCACTCAGGCTTGTGCAGTGCTGCCACTGGTTCAGCTCATTCCCCTCCCCCGCTACCACCTTTCTAGGATGGTCGCGTACCACCTGCCAGGTGCCAATGTACCACAGGTGGTACCCGTACCACTGGTTGAAAAGCCCTGCTTTATACTACTTATAGATCATCCTTGGTTTAAGTGCATTTTGTTTGCTATGAAGATATTAAATCTGTTAGGTTTATCATGGTTTATATTAATTTTCCTCTGGATATATTAGTTGCTGCAGACTGCCCTTGTGTAGACATTTCACTCTTAAGAATCACATGCAGCTGAATTACAATGTCCTTCCTTAAATAACTGGAAGGAACCACACTTGATTATAGCCAGAAAATGAGTGGAATATATTAAATGCAAGCATTTCCCAAAACGTGTCTCAACTTACTACAGTTATTCTCCATACTGCAAATTCAAACAAGAAAATGGCTTCATCTATCACATCATGAAACATTTTTCCTTGAATCTTATTGATGACGGTTGCCACACCTTAAATATTAATGTTCATGAGAAATGTTCTATTTGTTCAATAACTAAAGACTATATTTCAGCTTCAAAATCATTTATTAATCATTTATTGTAGGATGTGTTTATATGATAAAGTTTGGGTGTTTGTGTGTGTGTGTGTGTGTGTAAATTGTGTCTTGTATATAATTTGATATGCAATTTGGGTTTTTTAGCCTCACCAATTTGCTTCCTGGAAAAGCATATCTTGACAGAGGCTGTGATAGCTGTGCACACTTTGAAAATGCTTAGAAAGAAATGCTTCAGATCTCATACAATCCAAGTACCTCTATGAGCATAAGCCTGGAAAAAAATGTGGCTGCTTTAAGGAATTAACTCATTAAAGCCGCTCTTGAATTATCAATAGCAATATCTTTTTTTAGAACACTGAAAATTGATGTGGATGCTTTAATTAACTGGAGAAAAGTACTGTGCTTGTATGAAAAGCACTGTGCAGTTCTTCCTAATCCTTTTCAACATGCGAAGTTCTTCTTGTCTTCATTGCAACATTCACTATTTGTGTAGGCAAAGTCCACCACAAGTGGTAACTACTTTTTTTTAAAAAAAAAAAATCTAACTATATCAAAGGCCATAAAAGATTTGGTGAATCTCTGATTTATAAATCTATCATCTGTCTGTCTGCCCACCCATCTGTCTGTCTATCGCATTTATATAGACTCCCATCTATATAAATGGTCTTCAAAGTGCATTGTGTAGTCCAGATAAGTGATGATGAGGGCATGGTTTATCAAATCAGGTTCCTAATGCTCCAAGTAAGGTTGCATCTGTCTATAGCTGGGCAATGTTTCCCTGATTACAGCTTCCACCTGCATATCTGGCAGTGTCTGTAAGCCCTGCACAAACAGGTATGGATCTACTTCTTTAGGGGCAAATCCACTCTGTGAAAAGGCCACATTTTAATGAACACACAATAACTGCATCTTGCATGAGACCATGCTAATCACTGGGTTTAGGTGTACTTAATTTGGATTGGATTTGTTTTCAGCGATTTTTAAACTTTTCTAAAGGGCTGGAAGAAAGACTGTTTCTCCTGTTTGTTTTAACTCCTGTTTAGTGATGTGGTTGGTAGAGTGCTATTTCTGTAGTCTGTAGACTGGACTGTGTGCATATACTATATAAGAAGTTGTAGAAAAACTTTTTCTTTAATGCCATTAATATTGTTTGAACTGATTGCAAGTTTAAATAAACTGAAACTCTACTGCATTTCAGTATTAACATTTTATCTGCTTTACTGTTCCCTGCAATATCCTGTGTGGTCTTCTATTTAAACTTTTATGTAATAGTTATCCTGTTTAAACTGCTGTCATTTACAAATGCTTTAGAATTTATCTTGGCTAATTAATATTCTCTGGAAGTGTTTCTGACATCAAAGCAATTTCTCCATTACAAAAAGTTTGATTCTATTATGCTTAATCTGTCAGAAGAGTCTTATCAGCACTAAGAGGGGGAGACAGCTTTACCCTTGCTATGTTCCTTTTCTGTCCCTTCTTAAAATCTGCCAAGAAGGGATAGATCAGAACCAAAAGAAATCTTTTTCCTCCCTTCCATTTTATCCATACATTTTCATTTCATCCGGTCCTCTTCCAACCTTTCTCCTTGTCAGATGTCAGAACTGGTGGTGCTGGTTGTTATCTTTAAGGGCCTACATGATGTGGGGATGGTTATTTGAGAGACCACCTATTTCTATAGGTTTCTGGTCATCCTACCAGGTGGTAGCAGGGTGGGCGTACTAGGGGTTCCTTCTGTGAAGCACTGTCAACTGATGGGACCCAAAAGATATGTCTTCTCTGTGAGGGTGTCTGCTTTCTGGAACAACTTTCTGCCTAAGACGGGTCTGATCATCCTGGCTTCTTGGAAAGGCTTTCTTCCTTAGGTGGTGGGGTCAAAGTGTTGTAGAGTTTGGTATAAATGTTCTGTCATTACGCTGTTAGAAACAGTTTAATAATGTCTCAACTATGTCTTTTATAAAAGAAACTGTGAGGTTTCTTTTGCAATTTTTTAATTATATTATATTGCATTTATGTTTCTGTTAGCTGCCCTGAGTTGTTTGGTTAAAATGGGTGGTCATATAAATTTGACCAATAAACCAACAGACAAAATAATTTCTTGCAGATGGTGTCCTTCCCAAGTTCTTTATAGCTCTCCCATTTCTGTGTTTCTATCTATTCTTTCTTTTGCTTCTGTTCTTCTTCTGGGAGAGTTGACTGAGATTA